GAATCGGAAGACAAATAAAGACAGACACCCAAAGAGCCGGACAGGGAGACAAATGAAGGAGACAAGTGAAGACAGACATTCGGGGACACCACCAGTCAGACATGGGAGGCAACCGAATCGGAAGACAAATAAAGACAGACACCCAAAGAGCCGGACAGGGAGACAAATGAAGGAGACAAGTGAAGACAGACATTCGGGGACACCACCAGTCAGACATGGGAGGCAACCGAATCGGAAGACAAATAAAGACAGACACCCAAAGAGCCGGACAGGGAGACAAATGCAGGAGACAAGTGAAGAGAGACATCCGGAGAGCACGACGCCGCGGAGACAGGGGCAAAATGCAGGCTGACTGGGAAACCAATGAATTGGAAGATATCTGGACAACTGGACACCACCAGCCAGAGTCGCAGACGATTCAAGGGACACAAGTGAAGACGTCCAAAGAGCCGGACAGCGCCAGCCAGACACCGCCAGCCAGACTGGGAGACACATGAGGGTAAGAGAGACATCCGGCGAGCCGGACACCACCGGGAAACAAATCAATGGAGACAAGTGAAGACGTCCAAAGCGCCGGACACCGCCAGCCAGACCGGGAGACAAATGAATTCGGACACGTCCGGAGAGCCGGACGCCTCCGCGCACCTGGAAAGAGGCAGACACCTGTTAAGATAGAATTGAGAACTCCAACAGTAAACTGTTTAGGGAAAAGTTGCTGCCTTTTTTGGCTGGGGTTGTGATCGGAATCGAATTTAAACTTAGGATATTTTTTATTCATGCAGAATGTAAACAAGACTACAAGGTCGATGGCTCCCAAGGTTGGCCATCCTGAGGCCAAGGCTAATGCTGCTAAAGAAGAGGAAGCAGGCCAACATGATCGGGCAGCTGAAGAATGCAAGTGCCAAGCTTGCCAAGGTCCAAGCTGGGCAAATACAGGTTTCAGACGAGGAGAAGGTTGAACTCCGGGCCAAACATGACTTATGGAAGGAATATACATCCTTGGAGCAACAAGGATCAAAGGAAGGATGTCACGTTGGAATTGTTCCCCAGGGACAAGACTTGTTCCAGGTGGATGGCAAGAATGGAGCTTGAGGACGCTAGATTTGAGCAAAACTTTGGATCCAAAGGTTGGATCAGTCGCTTCGAGTCTGCGCCTATGTTTTTGATTGACTCCCCTTGGTTTTTTTCATGCTATGAGATGATTAGGTTCTGCTTTCCAACTACCAAGGCGTCGAAGTTACAAAAGAAGACAAACTAGATATCAGAAGGACAAGTACCTCCTCGCGTATATCCTGTGTGCCTTACCCCGCGATGACAGGTGGGATGAACATGTCCCAAGAGAGATGGCCCTGAAGAAAGCAGGAGAAAGCAGCTACTACTACTACTACTACTACTACTTCTAATTCTACTACTACTACTTCTACTTCTTCTACTACTACTACTACTGCTACTACTACCAGAAGAAGAATCTGACTGTGACAGGTCAAAATGTGAAAGAAAGTGACAAAGTCGCAGTGAGTGGTGGGTCAAGAAACCTGCCATGGAGACGTTCCTCTGCCTAGGAGCTCCTCTCAACCGACAAAGAAAGTGGAAAACCCGGCTTTGGTCAAGTCCAAGCAGCCTTGGTTCAAAGGAGTGGAAAGGCAAGGCTAGAAAGAGAGCTGCAGAAGGCAGAAGACCTGCTCCCCATCCTCCAAGAGAAGGAGTTGGAAACTGCTATCACCACCTTAGGTGGCACCATTGAATCCTTTCGCATCGGCGCTCACAAGGGGGAGAAGATGGAATATCCAAAGAAACCAGACCAAGAGAACTGGAGAAGCTAGTTGAAATTTGTGAAGCTCACTTGGGAGCCTTCAAGCGGAAGCTGAGGCAGGCTGCTGAACCTTCTCCTTCGGTAAAAGATTTTAAAGGCTACTCTGTGAAAAAGCATTGTGTGTGTAAAAAACTTCTGTGTGTAAATGCTTCTGCGTGTGAAAGTTGCTCTGGGTAAAGGCTTCTCTGTGACAAGTGTTCTGTGTGTAAATGCCTCTCTGTGTAAAAGCTTCTGCGTAAAAGCCTCTGTGCGTAAAAGCTTGTGTGTAAAATCTTCTATCTGTAAAGGCTTAGCTTCTCTGTCAACAAAAGCTTCTTTTATAAAGGCTTTGCGTGCAAAAGCCTATGCGTGTACAAGCTTCTGCGTATCAAAGCGTCTGTGTAAAAGCTTCTGTAGGTAAAAACTCCTGTGTGTAAAAGCCACTGTGTGTAAAAGCATCTGTGTGTAGAAGCGTGTGTTTGTGTAAAACTGCTCTGTGTAAAGGCTCCTATGTTTGCAATTTCTCTCTGTGAAAAACTTCTGTTTGAAAATGCTTCTGTGTCTACAAGCATTTGCGTGCAAAAGCGTCTGTGTGTAAAAACTGCTGTGTCTAAAAGCTCCTGCGTGCAAAGGCTTCTGTTTAGAAAAGCTTTGTGTAAAGGCTGTTCTGTGTAAAGGCTTCTCTGCGTAGAGGCCTCTGTGTGTAAAAGTTTCTCTGTGTAAAACCCCCGCGTTTATTTTGTGATTCTGGCTTTCACTCAGGCGGCAGCCCTGGAGCAAACTTCCTGTGCGGACAAGAAAGACATCAAAGTATGCATTTGTGACAGTTTACCGGCGTCAGCGATCACTTACCATGACCACTCATCATCATCATCATCATCATCATCATCAACATTAATTTATCATCATATGTTCGTGTTTCTTATCTCATCGTCTCCTCCCTCCTGCTTTCTTTCGGGCCACCCTGTCGTACCCTGTCGTCTAGTTTCATAGAGAGTTGGGCCACCAGCGTAGACTGTGTCCGCAGATGAGAAAAAACGCTGCAAATCTTGCCGATTTGCTTGCTGTGGCTTTGCTTTTGGGTTGTCCGGCCCCTCCTGTTTTTCAGGGATGACATTCGGCCCCGTTGCTCCACCATCCACAGGATGGGCATACAGAGATGAAGGTTTAGGAGGGAAAATGGCAGAACACGTTTGGCTGTAGGCCAAGCTTTGCTTCACAAATTTGCAGCCAGCCACGATGTGCCAAAGCTGTGAGCAAAGCAGTTCCTGGATGTGTGTTTTCTTTTTTAGGAGATTATAAGTACACCTCCTTTTCGGCAGGAGGTTTAAACATATATATATATATAAATAAGGTCTCGGCTTTAGCAGGGTTGCCCCACGCTCTCTGCTTGACCGTTTTGACCTTAGCGATCGCTGCTGTGAGCCTTCGATCGCGGGCGCTGTTGGCAGCGCCTTCTTTCTTGCGCTCTGCCTTTCCAGTGCAGGAAGGCAACGCCTTTGCTCACTCAGTTTGACTTCCTCGAGGACTTCGCCTTCATCCTTGGGGACTTTGTCATCACCCTGAGACTGTAGGTCTTGGGACGGGTTTCTTCCTGGTTCTCTGCCTTAAACCGGGTATTTTTCGGCAATTCGGCAATTCTTTGGATCGATCTCTGTAAGCGGGGCTTACACACTGATCTCCGATTTATTTGCTGCAATACATGTTTGTGGGCGTTTTTGTCCTGGCCTTCTTCTACGCTCTCTCGTTCAAGGACGCTTTGGTGTTTGACTTGATTCACCTCCCTGCCTACCAGTACGGCGACTGGCACACAGAGGAGGCACTCTCGGAGGAAAAGGGCTGCTGCCAGACGTGCCTGGTTCCTGCATCGCAGAGGCATTCTACCCCTCGGACCTACGAGATTGAAACAGATCTTGCAAACCCTTGGCGGTCATCATTCCAAAGACTCGCGCTTTTTGCGCCTTATTGCATCAGCAATGACGACACCCAGCCGAGCTCCTTGGAAATGCAGGATGTGCAAACAGCTGCGCAAGAGCAACGCAATGTACTGCGTTACTTGCCAGCAGCCATGGCAAAATGTGATAGATCCGACGTACGTGCATGGCTCGAAGCAGACATCGCAGACGGACCAAGGTCAATATTACAATTCACCATGGCAGCAGCAAGATTGGCAAGCTCATTGGACCTCTTCCAACTCCAGAGGGCGAACACCTTCTCCGAGACAGAGACAGAGACCCAAGAGTGCCAAGGGCAACAAGACGCCGAAACAGGAACAGGTTCCGCTGATGCATCAGGCACCGCAAATGATGATGCCGACAATGCCTCCACAGGGCTACATAGGCTCAGTGCCCCAAATGCCTGCTATGTATCCTCAGCAAACCATGCCTTTCCCAATGCAACAGATGCCAGGGAACATGGCTCCGTTGCCGCCGCCGCCACCGCCGAACATGGCGAAGATGCCTGCGCCCATGCCAGTACCCACATCCAACATGAGTGGGAATTTTGTACCATCTATGCCAACCATGCCAGCTCCGCCGATCCCGAAGCTGAATGTGATTTCAGCACCATCCAGCAGTGCAGCGGATGCCGAGGTACGAGGTTTGATGACGATGATGCGTGGACGGCAAGCGGAACTGCCGGAGGACATGCAGCACAAGATCCAGAAGGTTTTCACCAAGTATGGGCAGCAGACTTCGACCGACCTCCATGCGGCGGTGACAGCTTTGGACACAGCCAGACAGAACTACGACGATGCAGTTCTTGCTCGAAGCCAGCATCATGCAATGTGGAAAAAGTTCTTGTCAGATGCTGTCCAAATGTGGAAAACATACGCTGCGCAATTCATGGATCAAGAAAAGCAATTGCAGGAACAAGTGTCCACACACAAGGAATCACTTTTGACTGCCAAGAAGGACCTGGAGACTTGCAAGCAAGCCAAACTCGGAGCGGGGGACGTACATCACATTACGTCCGACGACGAGACCGAGGATCCAGAGACAACAGCAGCCATTCAAGCCTCTGCCAAGATCACGGAGACGATGGAAGGTCTGGCAACCTCCCTCCAATCTCTACATCAAGAAGCAGAAGCATTGATTGCGGAAGAGACTCATGCCGCCAAACGGCAACGCACCATGCAGCCCAAAGAAGAAGACCAAGCTATGGAGGCTGGCGACGGGTCCATGCAGCATTTTGGCAAGGCTGGTTGAGCATGACTACAAAGTATGCCAACCTGAAGCCGCTGACAAAGGACAGCAGTGCCATCTCTGGCCCTGTTGCGGTACTCAAATGGTCCCATAGCATTGTCGAAGAGCACAATTTCCTCAATGAGTATGCAGCCATTGAGAATGCGCGTTCTCTTGCTTTGGATTTGGGCTCTTACAATGGCGTTTTCAGTGACACAAAGCCTTGGACAATCACATCCAGGACCCCATCATCTCGTCGGAGCTTGGGTTTTGCTTCCGACGTTGACGTTCTGATGGGACTAGCTGATGAGATCACCATGTACAAGGTTACTGTTCCCGAATTTTGTCTTGGCAATGGAATCATGCCCTGGAGCGCTGGTTTACTCCGAGGAGGTGATTTTGCAGTGCCCATACAAGACACTCATGAAGAACATCAACACGTTCCAGATGACAATTCATCCATGATTCATGCGTCTGGGATCAGTAGCGATACCTTTGAGACTGCTCCATCGTCTCCAACATCAGTGCCTGCCTTCAATTTTGGTCATGACCATCCTGCCAATGCTCGGACAGGTTCCCAGATCCCATCTTGGGGACGCAACATACTCCATCTTCTGGAAGAGGAAGGGGTTGTTGAAGACGAAGAAGACGGCCCCGTCATCATGGTCAGTTCATTTTATATTGATCATGAGACGCACAGATTTCATGATGAGCCGAGAATCTTGCGTTTTGACCATGATTATGAGGAATGGGAAGCTGATGTGCGCTTCATCTGGGAGGACATGGTGGACAATCAGGCGCCATTGGACATTGTCATTGTTCGTCCTGAGCCCCCACATATCCCTTTTCGTGGCACGGTGGCGACGGTCATTGTGCACCAACATCAACGACCAGACAGGGCAGCGTGCCTCATCACTGCGGTGCACATCATGGATCCAGCAACCACCTTTCGACATTCCGCCCATTCAACTGAGCTTCTTCTTCCACATGCAAGAGTACGTCAGTTAGCTGGAGTGGATCACATTTGCTTGCAACGAGAGGAACAAGGAGCTGGACAATGCACTGTCCACATTGGCCACCAACTTCAACCTCCAGCTCATGATATTGCGATACTTCATGGTTTGAGTCTTCACATACGAATCCCGTCTACTCTTTCCATTGAGGAGGCTGAGCAAAATCTTTGCAGGAGAGTTCAACAAAATCGACGACAACAATCGGGACATAGCTGGGACCCACCGGACAGTCAAGTAGGCTCACCTGAAGATGATCACCCTTTGCCCGTGGATGGACCACATGAACCCGAAGATGCCATTTCTTTTATGGGAAAAAGACCAAGACCGGCCAGATCATCCAGACATCGACCCATTGAAATCTCATCGTCCTCTACATCACCTGAGACGATTTCGTCTCCTGACAATGGCTTGAGATGGAGACAGACAGTCATCTTCACCATGGATGGTCTGTCAACCTCCGCACAATTGCCATGGGGTGATTCTGATGCTCTTTTCAGTCAAATTGCAGCGGCATTAGACATTGCGAGAAGGGACATTCTCCGAGTGGTTGCAGTGCCCCATCGACCGCCTGATTATGACCCAGTGAACTTGCACTGCATGATACTGCAAAAGTTGACAGAGTTTCGCCCTACACCCTATGTGCGTTTGGTTTTGGTTGATCGTGAACTACATGTTGCACAGAATGTTCAGACATCACCATTCCGTAGATTTCCAACTTGGATTCCACATGTCCTCACGAGGACAAGACTTTTGACCGAACTTGGCCTTGGCGACCTATGTGATTCACAAGGCTCACCATGCCATGTATGGAAAAACAATGTTCTTGTTGAGGAGCACTCCATCACACGCCTGGAAATTGCAGATGGAGACTACATCAGACTCTATGTGGGTGATCTTGATGGACAGGACACTTGTCTGTCTGACATTGATCTGAGATTCAGTGAAGAGGCAGAAGAAGCTACGATCACAGAGGACGTCGATGATGCTTATCTCTTTCAGAAGGCCATGCGACAATTTGAGCATACTTGCTCCAAAACCCTGCGTGATCTTGAGCCTCACAAGTGTAGGATTGCACCTGATCATGTCACTACTGGACGCCGGCTCGACTTACCAGGACGAGCTGCACATCAAGAACAGAGACAACCTGTACCGACCCAGGATTTCCATCAAGGGGATTTTCAGCGTTTGGGAACCTGGTTTGATCGAGATTCTCTCATTGAGTGCAGTGATGAAGGTGCAATCGCTTACATTGACACATGGTACATCCATCATCAACGTCAAAGCATTTGTCGAGAAGCACGACCTCTTCGACTTGGAAATGATCCTACCACATGGCGAAGTGACATTTTGGACCTCTGGCATGATGTCATTGATCCTAGTATTGCCACGGTCATCCATCTTGTTCAACCGCCTCCACCATGTGCTATGACGGAATGTGTCCTTGCCCACTTGATTTTGGAACAATCCACACGACCACAACATGAAGTTGGACTCATCACTATCCATGTTCGTGATCGTCATGGTGACACCACCCGACATGGAGCATATTCCCTACCCAACATCATGACGGAGCGCAATGTACTGCATTTGGCCGAAATGTTCATTTATTGTCAAGCTCGACTTTGTGCAGTTCGACTTGGAGCATTACCCTTTGGCCTTGCTGATTGGGTTGAAATTCCAAGAGCTGCGAGTCTTGTCATTCACATACGGCCTCTTATCCTGCCAACGGAGGAGAATGATCACATGGAGCTCATGCAAAGGCCCAACACGAGATGGCGACGTCAGACAGTTCCTGAGGAAGGACTGGCTACGTCGTCCAATGCTCGACGATGTGCCCGCTTCGTCTTCAATCCGGGAGCTCCAGTATTCAACCCGATGATGCCAAACCTGAACACAATGTCAGAAGAGATTCAAGAACTCCACCAACACTGGATCAGGACCGCCTTTAGTTGGGAGGGCGAAACGGCCTCAACTAGGATCCAAACATGGTTCGTCGATCAACACGACCAAAATTTTTGGACATGCACTCGGCCACGAACAGTCCGTCTTTACGAGGACTATACGCAGTGGGAAGCCCAAATCCGGCAGACGTGGCAGGATCTTTTGAATCCAGCAGCGCCAGCAATCATTCAGGTTGTGACTCCCACTCCTCTCAACACAAACAGAGAGACAGCTGCACACGTCCTCCTGATCCAACGGCCACATGAAGTCTTTGTCACCATTTTGACTACAGTGGTTGGTCTTAGTCATGCAAGGCGTGCTATCACAATGCAGCTTGCAATCACCACTCATGAACATATGTATGTTCAGAACTTGCTGATGGCACTGGGACTTGCTGGACGATGCCTTGCGACAGGTGCAGCGATGACATGCCAGACGTGGTATGATCGGTATCTCATTCAACCAGGCACGGTCTTTCCTGCCCGCAATGGCCAAGGACTTGTGATTCAAATGCACAGGCGACCTACCTACCAGGACATGCGAGATGGTACCAATCTCTTGCAAACAAGGATGCAGTCTATCCATCGTGAGCGCCAAACACATGGGCAGGTGGCTCACACCCATGGGCCACGATCGGACACACTACCCTCCACACCGTCCATTTTGGAAGAGGATCTGGAGCCACCTTTCTCTGCCACAGGTATTATCTATGTCCACTGGCCGCCGACATATGGATCTTCCACCCAAATTCCGCACTTTGTGGAGGTTGAGGCCCCAGGTACACCTGAACAAGTTCGACAAGAGTTTCGCAGTATGGGATATGAAGGTGAAGCATTCTCATGTGGCCAACACGATGCCGTCTATTTTCATCCATGCATCTTCCATCATGAAATGATGCACATCTACTGCAACCAGGATACGACAGCCAAAAATGGCATTCATGTACAACGTGGAACTCCTGCGGATGATGACATCACTCATATGAAGATCCTACATCGGAAGGGCTTCCGCAAAGCTGTGATTACGCAGAGAGAGCAAGTCAATGCCTATGTCACGATCTTGCACTTTTGCAACGTGGAGCAAAGCATGAAGATGATTGCCGACCGCCAAGGTTGCCTACCCCTTGGCCTTCACCGCAGCCAGTCCAAGTCAATATGACCAAGCCATTCATTGACAAAGGTTTTGATCGACCACGAACTGATCATGTCATTGAAATTGACTGTCAAGAGCTTCAAGCATTTTTCAATGCGCCGCCTCTGCAGTTGATCACAGACATCACACCATATGAAGTACCGGACTTCATACAAGAGGCCATTGCGCAATGCCGGCCACTTCCTCGACATGACAGACTGGTCATCTATGCCGATGGATCCTCACAGAGCAAAAAAAGACATTGTTCGCCTCTATGGACTGACCTGCATGAAGCGAGTGACTCCTGGTGTTTTGCTGTCTTTGCGGAGCAGTACGCGGACCAAGATGCCACCTCAGAGCGAAACCTGGAGTTCATCGGCCTGACTTGTCAACAGATCCTCTATGAGCCAGACCGTCCCCACCATGTCGGTACAGACCACATCGGCTCCGATGCAGCAGAAACAGAAGCGTTGTTGTGGAGCGCTATTTGGCGGCTTGCGCAGAACCATCGGCTCCCGACAACTTTTGTGACTGACTCCCTCTTGGTTGGTGGTCAAGCTTCTGGGACTCTTGGTACGAGTTCACCGAGTACTCCGTTCTGTCATCTTCGGGCTGCCTTTCAGGCGCTAGAAGCCATCTTGCCAGAGGACCATTTGCGAGTCTCCCATACACGCAGTCATGCAGGAGAGCCATACAATGAACTGGTAGATCATTTTGCCAAGCTTGAAGGACGAGACAGTCAGTACCTCCCACGACAGCAGATCAACATGCCCACTTTTGGACGCATTTTGCGCGTACTCTGGATGATATTGGCACAGGATGGAGACTTGCCTAGATCTTGTGCAGGAGGACTAGCAATCCCACCGCCAAAGCTTACAAATCGCCCACACTACAGATGAACGCACAGTGCGCACAGATGTGGCCTTGAGTTTTGCAACAGCAAATGTTCGCACCTTTTACAAGGGCGATGATGGCACACCTGGCAAGTTGCACTATGTGCGAGAGCAATTCAAACATCTTCGACTCCACTTTCTTGGTTTGCAGGAGACTCGCACCACGACCTGTTCTACGACCGCAGCATCGGTTCTTAGACTGGCCAGTGGAGATCATCAAGGACACCAAGGAGTGGAGCTCTGGGTGAACCTTGACCAACCATATGGATGGCAAAATGGTCGACCTCCTTATTTCACAAAGAAAGACATTGTTGTCACCTCAGCCAACCCAAGATCTTTGCTCGCTCGCGTTCACAATCAGCACTTGGACTTTATGGTGGCTGTTATCTATGCTCCGCAAAGTGGTATCTCACAATCAGAGCGTGCTGACTGGTGGAATGATGCAATGATCAGCATTCAGGAAGCGGTGCAAGACAAAGATCTAGTCCTTCTCATTGATGCAAATGCGGCCTCTGGTGAACAAGATGCTCGACACGTTTTCCAGCAGGATGACAAGAGCACCAGCGGCACCGGTTTCCTGCGAGACCTCCTTGAAACACATTGCCTCTGTCTCCCAGCCACCAGCGATCGACACCAAGGGGAACAACAAACATGGCTATGCCCGGCAACACAACAGGGACATCGCATTGATTATGTGGCTATCCCCATCTCATGGTTTCCTTCGTGTACCACCTCCAGAACGATACCGGAGCTGGACCTGGGCAACATTGGGGATCACACAGCTGTTGGACTGGAAGTGCAATGGTATCAATTTTCTTCACACAGCCCATCGAATGGACACAGCGCCAGAGGCTATGATCGCACTGCTATACCCCACAGAAAGCTTGGTAAGCAGCTCCGCGACTATGTGCCTTTAGAATGGGCCACGGACATTGCAACACAGGTTGAACATTGCAATCAACATCTTGTCCAGACACTACAAAGTCACTGTCCTCAGCGCAAAACTGGCCCCAAAAAGCCTTTCATCACAGAGGAGATGTGGGCACTCCGTGCGCAGAAACTGCAAGCTGGTCGCCGACTTCGTCAACTCCGTTGTATGCAGGCCAGAGAATCGCTCGTGAGAGCTTTTGCCTGTTGGAGACACCCGGAGATAGATGTTCCTGGAGAGACCTTTGCCACATCTTTACAATGTGCACTTCTCAAACATGGAGTTCAATTTCAGCGTTCCAATTCTGCTCTTCGACGGGAGCTGCGCAAAGCGCGAGGACAAGCCCTTCAAGATGCAGTTTTGACACTACCTCCTGAGTGCCCTGCAAGTGCTATCCTGCAAGCTCTCAAGCCTTTGGTTGGACCCACAAATATGAAACATCGCAGAGAGATGCCACTTCCAATGGTCAATGATGAAGATGGACGTCCCTGTCGCACTCCACAGGACCTGACTGACCGATGGGCCAACTTCTTTGGAGCCATGGAAGGGGGGGACCAGAATGGATGCAAGGCGACTGAGAAATCTGTGGAAGCAGAATCTCCAGGAGTTCATTCCAGCTGGACTTTGCCTTCAACCAGAGGACATTCCAACTCTTGTTGATCTGGAGCGAGCCTTTCGACGAGTTCGACCAGGCAAGGCTATTGGAGCTGATGACATTCCGCCAGAGTTATGTCACTGCCAGCCTATGACCATGGCGAGACTCACATACACACAGATGCTGAAGCTCCTTGCGCACGGCCAAGAAGCACTACTCCATAAAGGAGGTCTTCTCGTGTCAGCGTGGAAGCGCAAAGGTGCACAACAAGAATGTAGCTCATACCGCTCATTGTTGATCAGCTCCCATGTGGGGAAGACTCTCCATCGGGTGATTCGAGAGCAACAATCCAGCTTGTATGAACGCTTCCTTCAGAGAAGCCAGATTGGGGGCCGCAAGCAAGTGCCTGTTGGACTAGGTGTCCATCATGTCAGAGCGTCGCTTAGACGTGCCAAACAGCAACGAGAATCATCAGGAGTCATTTTTCTCGATTTGCAGGAAGCATTCTACCGCGTCATTCGCCCTCTTGCGGTAGGTGGCCTACTCTCAGATGCGGTTTTGGGCCAGATTGCTGCTCGCTTGAACCTCGATGATCAAGTTCTCCATGATCTCCATGAACTTTTGCAGAGCCCATCTGCCACGGAACTTGCGGGTCTACCCCAACATCTTCAAGTTGCACTTCGGGCCTTGCACACTGATACGCACTTTTGGGTTGCTGGTCAGACTGACTACGTGCGGACTGCAGTTGGTACCAGACCCGGTGACCCGTTCGCCGATGTGGTGTTTGGGTACATGTTCTCTCGCATCCTCAAATCGGTCGAGACTCAAATGGAACAAGCCGACCTGATTGAACATTTCGAGGATGCCGAGACCAATGGCCTTTTTCCAAGTGCCAGGACACCGACAAGGCCTATGCCCTTTTTAGGGCCAACATGGATGGACGACTTGTGCATAACAATTTCAGCATCCACTGCCCATGCCATTGAGACCAAGACTGGTGTTGCATGTGGAATACTTTTGGATGCTTGTCAACGTCATGGGGTCACACCAAACCTTCAGCGAGGGAAAAGTGAGATCTTATTTGCTTTTAGAGGTAAAGGATCAAGACCACTACGCAACAAGTACTTTGGCCCGTCCACTGCAGGCAAGATGATCATTTTGACTGAAGGAGGCAGCAAAGAGATTGTGGTTGTCGGACACTATCAGCATCTAGGTGGACTCATTCATCACAGTGGAGAGACGCGCCATGAGATGAGAAAGAAAGTTGCTCACGGTCACCAGACCTTTACACAGCATCGGAAGACTCTTTTCCAAAATGGGCATCTGCCTTTGCTGAAGCGTAGTGAGCTGTTCCAGACCCTGGTGGCCAGTAAGGTCACATATGGGACAGAGTCTTGGACACTCATGGACAAGATCAACAAGCTGTATTTCCACAGTGCTTACATGCGGCTCTATCGCAGACTGCTGAAAGCTCCACATGACAAACCTATTTCTGACGAGGAAGTTTCAGTCATTCTTGGCCTTCCACTACCGACTACAGTGCTACGAGTAGCCAGGCTTCGATACCTTGCTCTTCTTTACAAGTGTGAGCATGTCACACCATGGGCTGTCTTGAGAGCGGACTCGCAGTGGATGGCTTTGATCTGCGACGATCTGCAGTGGCTTTGGGACCTCGTTTGCTCTACCACGAAGCTCCCTGCACCACGGGATCATTTTGGCCCATGGGAGAATGTGCTCCGCTACCATCGCACGTATTGGAAGAGACTTCTTCAACGAGCAGTGCGACTTGAAATTTTGCATGCGGAAGATCGTCTTCTCCTTCTACGTTTACACCGAGATGCTTTTGGATTCTTGACAGAGAAGGGCCCACTGGCATATCGACCGCAGCTATACCAACAAGCTCCTGCGCAAGACCATCAGATCTTTGGATGCATGAACTGCAACAAGCGATTCAAGAGTCATGGAGGAGAAGGCGCTCATCTCTGTCGAGCTCATGGCATTGTGGCGCCAGTCCGACGGCTCTATGATGGAACGACTTGTCCATCCTGTTTGAGGGAGTATCACACCTTTGCCAAACTTCAACAGCATCTGCGATGCACTGCGCAATGTCGACATCTACTTCAAGGACAACGCCAACATGAGGCACCTGCGCCAGGCAAGGGATCTCTTGCCAATGAGCGACTCCATCGAGAACATGATGGACTTGTGCCCACCTTGCAAGCGCAAGGACCTAAAGACACGCGTCAGCGACCACGTGCTGATGAAAATTTTTGTGGCAGTCTTTATGGAGATCTGGTTTCGGCATGTTTTGATCATCAAGATCACCCAGAACGAGATCTCTTCCAAGAACTCTATGGGCGCATCCAGACCCACCCAGTGAGCTGGACGATGACCAAAAGGACGCTACATCATATTGCAGAGTCCCTTACGACCGAAGATGCAGACTTGGCCCACATCGACCTCATGGAGTGGAGACAGTTGCTCTATCGACTGGCAGACTTCCGTCAGTGGAGTTTCCTTGCTGCTGATTTCTGCGCAGAATCGATGGACCAAGATCTCACGCTATCGCATTATGAAGATTGGTGCAGAGAGCTACAGACTCATGATCCTCCACGCTGTGTCGAGCAGGCGGTTCCTCGCGTCCATTTTCAAGAACGTGTGGTGGTGCATGCCTACTCAGGTCGCAGGCGCTATGGGGATTTCCAGTGGTACCTCGACGCCACTGCGGAGCGAGCCGGCATTGGGATGCTCTTTGTGGTGTCACTCGATCTGGTGATTGACAAACAATGGGGTGACATTGGCAGACCGGAGTCGTACCAATTCTGGACGAATGCCATTCGCAGTGGATACGTCCTTGGAATGCTTGGGGGTCCACCCTGCTGCACATGGTCTGCAGCGCGGGGCAAAGTGGATCTGGCCATGCAACGACAGGGCAAGACTGGGCCCCGGCCCATTCGATCTGCCGAGGATCTTTGGGGATTCTGGTCACTCTCTCTTCGTGAGAAGCGCCAGATCATGGATGGCCACAAGCTCCTTGCGTTTAGCATCATCTGCATGATCCTACTTGATGAGGTCGACGGTAGCGGAATCATGGAGCATCCTGCAGAACCCTCAGACCCGAGTAGCCCGAGTATTTGGAAGCTTCCTCTTATTCAGCTACTGCTGACCTTGCCGGGCTTCGAGAAGGTGACCTTTGCGCAGGGCCTCCTTGGTGCTGACAGTGCCAAAAGTACGACGCTTCTGGCACTTAACTTGCCCTCGCTGCCTCTCCATCTTCGAGCTAACGCAATCAGTGCAGAGCTTCCTCGCGGACGATCAATTGGACTTGACCAAGAGGGTCATTTCCGCACTGCGGTACTCAAGGAGTATCCGCCGGCACTGTGCAGCGCTTTGGCTGCCAGTTTTGCCACCTTTTTAGCATCTGCCCCGATGCCATGCAGCAAGCACCACATCCCAGCTGATGTAAAGGAGAAAATCCTAGCCATGGTGAGCACAGATTTCACATCCACCATAGGTCCGGATTGTGCTAAGGGATAGGGTGAACTTTGTTTGCTGGCGTCTCACGAATTCAGAGACAGCAGCTGCCGCGGCGAGTTACGTCCCAACATGCAGTGTGCCAAAAAATATATATAAATGAACATCCTTGCAAACAGGCGGCTTTAAGATTATATTGTATGTGCAAACTTTTGCAAACAAGGTTTGAAGAATATAAGCGCCCCTCCGTGCAAACCAAAATGTTATAGCTGCAACCTGTGCATTTCAGCGCGGTAAAAATACAAACAAAAAAAGTTTTTTTTCAAAAACATGGCACGCCCTTGAAACAAACGTTCCAACTCCTTTTTTTAAAGACAAACCCTTTAAAGAACTTGTCTTTCAAAATTTCTAATAAGCATTTTTTCCAACGGGTGTACCTATTTCAAAAGTCTTCCCTTAGAAAAAAGGTTTGGGTCTTCTGGGTGGAACTATAATACTTTCTCGGTGTTGTCCATACGGTCAAAGACTCCTGTGATTATAAATAAAAAATAAAGATTTGTTCATACACACACAAATATACACGTACAAATAAAATACCTGCTTCGGCTGCATGGTTGCTTCGACTCGGTCTTCTAGGAAGAGCAGCGTATCATCTACCAAGTATACAGAATCTAGGATTTGCCAAATCTTCAATGTTAAAAAATCTTGCAGAATCAATTGCGCACGATTCCAAAAGACCAACCTATAACCAGCTTCAACTTTCAAAACCAGTCCAGTGCGCGCACGTGTTTTAGAGCCTACCCCAACTTCGAACTTGTAAAGAAGTTAAATTGACCTATCTTTTTGCCAGCTCGATGCTTCAGAGCCCACACTAGGTCACCAAACAATCTGATTCTCTTCGTGTCCGAGCAACTTTATATTGACACGATTGGATGCCACCTTGAGGGACCTAAGCCACCTAAGCAATTCGAATTGGTCCGAATTCCCCTCCTTGAGGCCGCGCTCCTCACTGCACCATCTGGCAGAGCTGCCCTACAAACTGCGACGTTCTTCTCTAGATTTTCATGAATTTCTCTAAAATTCCTTGGATCAAACATTTGATCAAAACAGAAGCTGCCTGAATTCAAATTGAAGGGTAATTGCCATGACATTTGCTGACGTTCAAGACTTGTGACGGTAAGCTGCTTTTGTTGCAAATTGTGGCAAACCTCAGCAGGCTGCATGCTCTAGGTCTTGGGGTAATTCGTGGGTGGAAACAGCTGCAGCATCACGAAATGTCACGAACAACATAGGCAACCGCACTAAAAGTAAAGGACCGGAAAGCCCCACATGTCAACTTCTTCCAAAAACTATCGCGGAGGTGTGAAAATGCACTGTGAATGTCACCAAGTGCCACACTTTCCACGCAACAACGTTGTGCGCGTGTGTGTGTGTGTGTGCGTGACCATGCTGTGTGTGACAGAGTTGTGTGTCACAATGTTGTGAGTGTGTGCGTGTGTGTGAACCATCTCAATAGATGTAAAACATTGTAAAACCTGTACCTGTTTTGTCGAAGTTGTGGAAACGACAAACGACTTTTCAGTACTTGCAGGGTGCGACGGGGTCGCTGCATGGCTGTCGCCAACGAAGCTCCATGCAGTTGACTAAAGGATATGAAGCCTGATCAACTCCACGTACCTGCCTTCAGTTTCCAGTTCATTTCATTTTCCAAGCAATGGCTAACCCAAGAACCACCTAGCCGAGTTCTTCAACTTTTTCATGTCAATACTGCACTGTTATCGCAAACTAAATTTCCATTGTCGCGCGGCTCAAGACTGTGGTGAGACTTTCCTGGCTATGGCGCTGGTTATTTCGACTATTTATTTGGTTTATTTTGGAACTCGACGGGGAAGGGTCAGCTCCCAATCTCCAATTCTCTTCCAATCTGATCATGATTAAATGGAGCGTTTTCACGTCCGATGCATTCCACATCAAAATTCGATAAGACAATTCTGAGCAAGTGTGTGAATCATGACGGATTCGCCAGGACGACATGAGCCCTTCGGGGAATACCTTTCTAGGTATAGGAAATGGCATCCGTCGATTTGACTCTGAATTTATAATTTCCAACTCGGTAATTCATCTAAGTAAAGTGGGCCTTCTTTCCTTCTCGCCCTGTCGAAGTCGTTGGTTGAACCACGTGCCGCCGTGCCTGGCATCACCCTTCTTTTTTTCGGCGCTGAAGCCGTGGAAATTATACTGCAAAACTTCCTTTTTTCCAGCTTTGCTCGAGAGAGTACGGAGCTCGACTACAGCATCATTTGTAACATTTGCAGGCGTCAGGTCATGCTTTCCAGGTGTGGTCTTCTTTCTTTTGGTTTCTCTGGTATGGTTCAGCTATGCATGTAATTCAGCTGGTGACTACCGACTGCTGTCCATAGGGTTGAATTGACTATCGAGGGCCTTGAGCCTGACCACGATTTGCACGAGATTGTGGATGCATCACTGATAATAAAATTGTTGAGCCGTTTTTGCACTATCGACCTGTTTCCCGATCTCCATCTCAGCTGCCATGTTTCCCTTTTCTTGGAATACGCGTCCATGGGCTACCCCAACGGCGCCAACGATGGACCCTGGCGCTCCATCATTGATGAACCAAATGGCAAGCGTGGGTCTTCCTCATCCTGGCATGGGCGGTATTTTCCAACAGGACCAAGCTAAGTCTCAGGCTCAGATTAACCTTTTACAGCAACAGAATGCATTATTGAGCCAGCAATTGGCTCATCAAGTTGGGTCCAACAATCTATCCATCCCCAACATCCCATCCTTCGGTGCCACCACCTCAACCATCGGCCCATGTTGAACATCCAACCCCACCTGCTACAACATCGTTTGACTCTTCAGAGATGGTGACACGCATCCAAGAAGGCCTCAAGCAGGAGATCAACGAGGCCATGAGAAGCAGTCTACAATTCCATCGTGCCAGAGCCAAGCCTGTCACTGCCAAGGTAAATCCTCCACCAGCTCCACAACAACATCCCACTCAATCATCAAGCTCTCATCCCAACGTGCCACTGACCACTCCAGTTCCATCCACTCGTTCCCCTTTGCCACGCCGTTCATCAGACAAGTCTGGCTCTGGACGCCATCGTGATGTACTAACTTCATCAAGGAAGACTGACAAGCGCTCCTCGTTTAAGCTCATTGACAGTTCAACGTCACGACATCGGAGTCCTCCTCGCTCCAAGTACCATCATGCACGTTCGTCTTCCAGACGACGTCCTGCCTCTTGTCGATATCGGTACTCATCGAGATTCGAGATCCCCTGTCCATCAACCTCGCAGTCCTCAACCTCTTCGACTTCCTTCCCGATCTCGTCAACAACGTCGACAAGACTCCCGCCAATGTGTCCACCTTCATGCAGCTCCACCCATTGAGAAACACATCACAGAATTCTCCCATCCCACGTCCCACCGTCGGGATCTCATCCCAGCCCCAATTATGGTTTCCAGATCCAAACTTCGCACGCCCACCACGCTCAGAAGGAACAACTGATACCATCCAGTTGAACGATGGGGAGGAACTAGTCGACCGTCCTGTGAATACCAGTGATGACTGGGTTGCCAAAGTCAAATTTGCACCCTATCATCCCAATCGAACCAAAGCAGCATGATCAGGACTGTGAATATTCGGCTGCGAGAACGTATTGAAGCTGGCATTTGCAATGTCGCTCCAGACCTTCCTTCGGATTGCTGCTCCAACATGGTCCAGATCTTGGCGGGCTCCGGCCTTCTTGACAAAGTGGATCTATCTGAATCCCTAAGTCGGGGATTCCACGGTTCCAACAAAAGCCTCCTTTCGGAGGGAAGACAGCTTTCACTCGGGCTTTGGTCCACGGCACTGGTATCCAAGCGGCCAAAGCCATTCTATTGGAAGGATTGGCAGGGCCCGCAGATTGGAGCTATCGTTCGGACCTTAGCAAGTGTGAATTACCTACTTTTGGAGGATTCTATTTAAGAACGCAAATTGGAAGATCCGAAGGAAACATCTCGGAACACACCATGTAGAACTCCTGGACCGATCTTCAAATAAAGGAAAAGGCCAACTACCCAGCCTCTTTGGCCTTATATTTCGGGGCGCATACCAACACCAGACTCGACGCTGGAGGAAATGGCCTTGCCCATTGAAGGTTGCTACAAAGCGGGTGGCCTCTACTTCGGAGAAGTATACCATCACTTTAAGTCAGCACACGACAGTCCACAATGTCACTGTCACTTGGGACAGCTTGAAGCAACAACCTGAAGATCAACATGACCGCCAGCCCTCACCATCGAGAACAGCTCCGGAGCCTTCTCAACCTCCTGACGAAATGCAGGACTACAATGATGAATTACCAGACTATGCTGCTTCACTTTTCATGTAGTCCGTAAATGCGAAGCATGCCTTCCTAGGATCTACCTGGACGATTTTGCTATGAGAAAAAAATTGGCCGCACTGTTGCCTCAATCTGATTTCGTTTCGATGATGTCATTTGGGAACTTTCTGAAAGTTTTTTGATGTCTTGGACCTTTGACATGTGCTTGCTTTATCTTTTCCCTTTGCAATTCACCGTTCAGTGACCGGGTACCATTGTCTCTCTTTCCCATGTTGTTTTTGACCTGTTTGCATGATTGTCATTTGAGAACATGTCGCATCAATTCCAGAAGAAAATCCCTTTCACCACTGAATCTGCAGCAGCACGACCAGACACAAGATCGCTTCGTTCTAGGGTTCTGGGATTCAGCATCATGGCTAGCCCTAACCCCTTTCGATCTCCGCTGCTCAAAACCGACCAACCTATGGGCTCAGCTGTCCGGACCTTACGCAACCTGCCGCGACCCCAGTTCACCAATCGTTGGCCACCACTTCACTGGGACCTTATGGGATGATGGGACAATTCGGCTCCATATACCGCCCGCACTGCCAGTTGGACAAGATCGCCACATCCTTTTCCACCTTGACCACCAGCAACCATTCCCTATATGCTCCCATTCCTTGTTCTCAACAATCTACTTGGAGGATCATGCCCCTTACTAAGGTTTAAGCAGTGATTTATGCGCATCTATGGTAGCTTAGTAAGGCCTCTAAGCTATGATGTATGTACATCTATCATGCCTAAGCGTCGCTATGCACTTACTAAGCGTGGAACGTCACTTATAAACTTAAAAAACGCTTAGAAAAAATAAAGCACTTAGCTATGACGAATAGATGCTCTTAACTTTAAGTTGCCTAAGTGGTTAGGTGAGGTTATAGGGCACTTAGCCTGAGCATGTCTAAGCATTTAGCTAAGTGCTTAGCTAAGTGGCTAAGTGGCCTAAGTGCATCATAAGTGACCTCCAAAATTGACCATTTCGTCTTTGTTTTAAAAAGGGAAACCTTCAATTTCAAACATGGTCCATGGTTTCACCAAGTCCATGGTGGTCATTCAAAGGGTTTCAGGATTTCTTTTTGAATCGATAACCCCATGATGCAACATGTGTGACACGCACTTTTCAACTTGCAACTGTGTTTTTGCAGGTCGGAAGTTTGGAAACCAAACAGGTTTGGAATCGTTTTTGCGTGATGACACCAGAAAACAAAAGAGTTACGTAAAGACACCATGTAGTTTCTGGAAACTGAAGATTGAAAACTTCATGTTGCATACTTTGTGGATTCACGTCATTATGAAACAGACTGTATCAATTTGGTTTTTGAAACCTTGCCACATTTGACATATGTGGGAACAATGATTTTTTGGACATTGGGTATAGTAAACGACCTGGCTGTGTTGTGGGCTATGGCAGCTGCTGGCGACTTTCTCAGGTGCGCCCCCACCCCCTTGCTCTGCACCCATGACCGCTTTTAGTTTGAAATGAAAGGAGAAACTGTTACGCATGAAACAGCGCACTTTTTTTGCAGCTTTCATTGTCGGTTTATTCAGCTGTTTTTCTTGTAGCATGTTGCCATGAACAAAACCCATTGCAGGATGTCACACACATCATACATTTCTTGCATTTGCACGTCCTATAATATAGCCATTTTGCCTGCACGCCCTTAGTTTTGAGGCAGTGTTTCGTGCACGCCTTGCAGGGTTCATGTTTGAGCTCGCGGCCAAGATGTTCGCGAGAAGGTGGCTGGTTTCATCAAGCAGGCTGAGAGCGGGGGGCATGCAGCTGCTATCTCCAACTTGTTTACCTACCTGAAGTCTTGCAATTTGATGTACACACAGAGAGTGATCCCTTCTTTGGTGCACATTCACCCCACAGGGGTCCACGGACTTTTGACTGACATTGGTAGTGGATGGTCATGGTCAGAAGTGAAAGCTGTAGCAACCGAAGTCCCACAGACAGATACCAAAGTGGCGTTCCCAGAACATGCTTCCAGAGGTTCAACCAGGGACACTGAAGTTTGCTAGCCTCAGTGCCACCGACAGGAACTCGGTGCTGTGTTTGTTCCAAGCAGGCTGCAAGCACAGTGATGAAAGATTCTGCACGTCAGGACACTTGTCCATGGAAAAATTGATGAAACATGATCCAATCTACCATGATGCAGTGACTCATGGTCTATACTTGGACGTTGTCTCGTCAGAAGTTTTGGATGCATTTCCAGAGCTTGCTTCTCTCATCCAGCTCACGGCAAACACATCAGGGCAATTGCAAACAAAAGAAGCCGAGCTCCAGCTAGCTAAAAGGATATATGCATGCTGGGAAAAAAGTCCAAGGCCATTTCCGTTGCAAAGTTCGAAGATGTGAAAGCCGATCTCATGAGGAGCAAGCCTGCGTGCCAGGAATCATTGGCCAATCGCTTCCGTTTTGTCATGCAGTATGGTGGGGGTCAAGGCTGCAGTTTTTTGAATGAGACCATTGAAGTGTGCTCAATATGTCCACCAAAGACCTTGGGCGATGAATTTTGGTCTGCAATCTTGACGCATGGGCGATTTTTGGTTTCACTTCAGTCATTTTTTTTCTTGAAAACTTTGTTTGTTGTCATCAGGTATATCTACAATTTGATGAAAGAATATGAACAGAATTTGTCTGGGTCTGATTTTCATGGCAACAATAAAAAAAAATCGATGACAGTCGCCACCATTTCTTCGAACCCGACATGCGTGCATTCAGTATGCGATGCACGGGGGGTCCATTTCCCCGGGTGAGATCAAGAAAATGTTCTCTTCCCAGCTGGATCGGGTCAAAGTGACTGAGGAAATCTTTGTCAAATTGAGGAATTGCATCGCTTCCAATCCCAGCATCAAGAATTTGCAGCATGTGCATCAGTTTGAGCGCGATGCAATCAAAGTTCTCCTCCAACAGAACCCCAGTGAGTCTGCGCAGAGCCAGGCATGTGCGCTTGTTGAAAAGATGCAGGACTTACTTATCTGGAGTAAAGTTGACCAGTGAATTTGACTCCTACCCTTTGCAGTCAGCCGATGCAGCCCCCTCTAGTTCATCCACAGGCAAACACCAGGGGATGGTATGGCGACCCTCAGTTGCAATGAACGTGTATTTTATTTTTTCAAACCATTCAACAAAAATCATTGGCACTTTCCTTTTTTACACCTGGTGCCTGCGCAAACTATGATAAGGATGCGCCAATATGATCAAAGTGGAAGTTTGGTGAACACACAGGATCTACTGAAAGAACATGGTTTCGAAGTCGGCTGCCATGTGTCACGGAAGGATGGAATTCTAGCAAAAGTCCAAGCTTTTGAGGATGGCACCTCCGTGGTTGTCCTAGCTATGGATGATGCCAAAGGTGGAAGCAAGGTTGTGAAGGTGGACGCCGCTAGCTTTTTGAAAGGCCAGTCGACGAAGTACCAGCCCAAGGCCCTGCCACAGTACATGGCGAGCTGGTGGGGGCCAAGTTGCTTGGAGCACAAAGACTCCATAGCCTCGTACGTGAAGGGGAAGATTGCACAGGAGCTGAGACAAGCTACCATATGTAGCTGCAAGCCATCAGCGCTTCTTATACGCTGCAAGCCAGGGAAAGGAGTCATTGCCGCACTGAAGTTCGGCAAGGGACAGCTGAAGCTATTTCCCTTCACTAACCGGGTTGATGCCGGTAAGGGAGGTGATGGGGCAGTTCTGGTGACCACAGTGGGTGGCATGGAGTTCTACCTGCGCCAGAGCACTGGCATCACTGTGCCATTCTGGCACGTGGCTTCGGTTGCCGATGCAGCCATGGCCAACATGGAGATTGTGCCTACCAAGAACAAAGATGGGTTGCTCGAGGGCATCAAGATCCCTATATGCGGAACATTGCACCTTTGGAGCCCGACACCGAGCTGTTGATCTACAAGCCGCCCAGCAAGACGCGCGTCAGCACTGAATCCTTGGACAAGCTGATCCCAGCGAAGAGACTTCGTGGCAAGGAAAATCTGAGCTAGGTGAAGAGTGGCTCCAAACTTGTTGGCATGTGGTGGACGGGTAAAAGAAAACAAGCGAGCCAAGCCCTGCCAGCGGTTTTGCAACCTGCTCTCGAACATGCATGATTTTTGCCAATTTGCATGATCTGAATAACAGCATTTCGATTTCAAAACATTCAGTTTTGCAGGGCTTTTGCTCGCTCCTTGCAGTCAGTTTTCCATTGCATTCAACTTCCATAGCATTTTGTAGGCTTCAAAACATTCAGTTTTGCAGGGCTTTAGCTCGCTATTGGCAGGGCCTTTGCCCGCCTGCATCATGGAGCTGCTGCAAGTCCAGCAGATCACTGTGGAGAACTTGGTGGGATGCCGCTTGAATGGCAAAGACCTCTGGATGCCGAAGGTGGAAGATGTTGCTGGAGTGCGCCTTATGTACCTCAGTAAGTGGGATCGAGGCCTCACTCGCTTCTTGACTGGGAGGAGTTTAGACCTGAAGAGCAATGGCAAGAATCTGAACTCCACATCTGCTGGAGCCTACCTGCATGACTTGTTCCGCAAGAAGAGGGAAGCATCTCAGCCAGCTGTCTTGAAAGCTCATGAGCCTGCCTATGAGTCTGATGCTGGCCATGAAGTCAAGGCCAAGGGCAAAAAGCGCAAGGTCACTCATGACACGAGTTGTTTCTCGCCGCTCGTGCAGATATCCCTGCCGGCCGTCCAAGATCCATGGATGCCAGAGCGACTGGTCCAGGTGGAGTTTGGTGGCCAGTCGGATCTCTGGATGGAAGTGAATGAGACAAGCTTGCGTCAAGTGGTCCAAGGGATTGCTGAATGCAATTCCAGGTGCGGCCGTGCTCGAACCTCGAAATCTGAGAAGATCAAGCCTGAGCCGGTTTTGCCACTTTCCCCTGCGGTTAAGAAGGAAGTCCAGGAGATTTCTGATAGTGCTGATGCCAAGTCTGAATGCGGCCCTGGTGATGTCAAGGATGAGTCATGTGAACAGAATTGACTCCCTTGGCGGAGCTTGCCGAGGGTTTGGATACTTTCCCAAACGATAGCCATGAACAGAACCTTCGAAAGCACATGGGCGGAAGCTGATTATAGGATATTTTGATGTGATCTTTAAGATCAAATGCGTACCATATACATATATAGGGTCTGTGCTTCACGGGATGTAGGTGAAGAACCGTTCGGATTGCAACTCTGGGTTGCCCAGAGGTGAAAATACAACAGTAGCTGCTGGGCCAAGCTATGTAGCTTAAAATCAAACGGCATGAGCATTTTCATATTTTTAAAAATCCTTCTGGAAGTTTCATTCAGTTTCAATTTGATGGAATCAAGGTGGCAATGCCCTTTGAAGGTATCAGCACCAGAACTCATTCCCCACATTGACGTGTGGGGTTTTTGTTCTTAGTTCTGTATCCGCCTTCCGCCTCCCGCCGCCTCCCGCCGCCTCACGCCGCCTCCCGCCCCCTCACCCACTCACACACTCACTCACACACTCACACTCTAACTCACTCACTCACTCACACTCTCACTCACTCACTCATTCACTCACTCACACACTCACACACTCACTCACTCACTCGCTCGCTCGCTCGCTCACTCACCATCCGTCACTCCCTTCCCGCACCCCCCCACCCACCCCCCCACCCACCCCACGCCACTCAGCTTCCCTCCCTCCCTCACGCCAGCCCCCACTCCCTCCCTCACTCCCCTCACCCCCCCCCCCCCCCCCCCACCCCCTCCCTCCCATTCCCTCCCTTCACTCACTCACTCTCTCTCTCACTCACACTCTCACTCACACTCTCACTCACACTCACACTCTCACTCACACTCTCACTCACACTCACACACTCACTCACACACTCACTCACACACTCACTCACACACTCACACTCTCACTCCCTCACTCACACTCTCACTCCCTCACTCACACTCTCACTCCCTCACTCACACTCCCTCACTCC